TGAAATGTTGCAAATATTGTACACAAAAGCCCATATTTGTAAACAACATTGCTTACAAGTTGCTCGTTTGTGTGAAATGAAATAAAAGTTTATGTGAATGAATATTTACATCACAATCAAAATTCAGGATTTTTTGCTGTGCAGGGCAAAAATCGGGCTGACAAAATTAGATCATTACTGTAGTTCGATAAAATAAGCTATTATCCGGAATCTAATACGGCAAACAAGCAAAAAACGTCAAAGAGAATCGATCAATGGTAAATAGGTTCATTGTTCAGCTTGAATTGCCTAATTTGAAATGAAACAAACATTTTCGGTTATATCAGCAATCTTACTGAACTTAGAGGACTGTTTTTGAAAGGTTGCTCGCCGTGTTTTATGAGACAGTTGATTGGTTGTAGCAGCAACTCAATCATAAATGATGTATTGTAATAGAGGGGCTCGGTACACTTAGAGCAACCGGTTTTTCTTGCTGATTAGAAGATCGTGAGTTTAATCTATAAGCAAACCTGTTAGACACTTTTGCTAGGAAATAAGAGAGAGGGAGAATGATGGAAGCCATAAAAGATGTCGGGGACGGATAGAAGTTCCTCTGGTAGGAGTGGGCTTGTACAAGATTCCGCTGGCCAACTTGAACGAGATAACAATCGACGGAAATACTAGCGTTAGTGTCAGCGTTCTTACGGTATACTTCGTAGCTTGGATACTAATGACACTCAAGTCTCTTTTGGAATTCTCAGTCAGACTGCTTTCAGGAGTAATGCTGACGGGCAAAAATTGATTCCAGTCTATACCACCAGAACTTAGCGATTTCTAATAAGTGTTGATTGGTATACTGTGCATCGTTGCAGTTTGTTCCAACGTTGGTCCATATTGTGTATGGTCCCTGAGGAGCAGTATGTTTGGGTAAATGATCATTGTCGATTTTGCAATGGCAGTCCAAAGGTTAACGACACCAAATAACCTTTCCTTGGGTTCATAGACGTGATAAAGCATTTTGGCCCATTGCACTATGCCATTGTGCAGATGCCGTTGTGGTGATGGTGACGGACAGTGAAATCAACTCAATTGCCTTTGTTGTGATGGTCACATTCTGCGCACAACCGTAGAACTACGTCTTTGTCGACTATACTGGGGTACAAATCAAAAAAATGTGTTGTGAAATAGTGTTAGGTTTTGAACGCTTGTAACTTTGTCATTTGTAGATGAAAATATAATCCAAATACGCCAATCGATAGGATATTACATTACAAATCTGCTTAAATAAATATTCTTTTCAATTTTCCACAAAAAACATTGGAAAAATGTTCTTCTTCTTCTTCTTTGCATTTCAAGCTTATTGCATATCGCATATTAGCTCATTGCGTGCTCTCAACTTAGTGTTCTAGATGCAATTCCACAGTTATTAATTGAGAGCTTTCGATGCCTGTACCATTTTTGCATTGGTATAATTGTGTGGCAAGTCCAATCATACTTTTATGCCCAGGGAAGTCGAGATATTTTCCAACCCGAAAAATTCCTAGACCGGACCGGGAATTGAACCCAGCCACCTCCAGCATGGTCTTGCTTTGTAGCTGCGCCTTTGCCGACTGAGCTAAGGGATGCCCCCGGAAAAATGTACAGATGATAATTTTATCTCTGTTTTCATGAAATAAACGATTTTCCCTAACCCAGTCGTCATAATCGAGTACCATTTGGTTCTACATCGTTCTGCATGAACCTGAAAATATATCAAACAGCGCTGCTGTCATGCCTCTGCTCATTACCGCTTCGGACGGAGTGGCACTTGGTCCTGCAGCAAGCAGGAGCAAGTCAGTGGATTAAGGTGGATCATGGCGTGACCACCTATCACAATGAGGAAATGAGGAACTTGGAAATTGGTTATACATGCAAATCACCCCCTCCCCTCCCCCCTCCCCACGCCTTAAACGACAACCCAAAAAAGACATGGACTTATCACTTTATTCCGGGAAATAAATTATAAGCAAACTACAATTATAAGTAAAAGCAAAAGTTAAATTCCATTAATTTTTTACCCGCTTTCCATAGAGCCAAAACTTTCAAATTTGAGAAAAATTTTGCTTAAAAAAAGGCATACATTCTATTCTTTTTGTGAACTACCAACAACTGACTGTTAAACATATCTGGTACCTCTATATATGCAATTAGATTAACATACGAAGTCCAGCCTTTTTTACATATTCTGCACAAAAGATACTTTCTGCCCCGCCCCATTCATAAAAACGGCGGGAAATTCTATCAGGTGCGGTTGCACATCATTCTTCTTGAACCTGAAAAGATATAAAATAACGCTACTGTCCTGCTTTTGCTCATTACCGCTTCGGACGGTGTGACACTTGGTCCTGTATCAAGCAGGACTAAGTCAACGGCTAAAGTTGGACTTGAGTCCCGTTTCACTAAACCGAAACGCGGAAAAGTTATATGTGCCAAATCGGTTCATAAGTTCTTGGATCAATAGGTAGGGTCCAAGTAAGGGTAGCATTGGTGCTTAGCACGGAAAACAAACCAAGGAAAAAAAATGAACCATAACCGAAACATTGAAATACTTGAAAATTTTAAGATTAAGTTAAATAGTTAAAAATGCATGACATACATCAACTTTGCATAGTTCTACGTCATACTGCGGTCGTGTATAGGACATAACCCTTTTTTTCGTATTGAATTGCATGCATTCCGTGCTTATCCAAATCCGTAGTCCGTTCCCAAGTCTAGTCCAGGTTTATACTATCCGGCTCCAAGGACCAAATGTTGGGGGGGGGGGGGGGGGAGTCCTTGGAAAGTTGGTTCCATCGTGGACTGTATAATTTAGGTGGTGCTCCACTCTTCCAACACGATGGTGTTATTGAAGGGAACGTGTAATATTGGGAAAATACTGAACTCCCACAGTGTGAATGCTGAAATTCAGGACTGATTTTTTTTTTCTTAGATATTAAGACACACATGTATTCACGATTAATCACAAATTATATTTATACGTAAAACCCCTACATATATGTACATGAAATTTGATATCACACGTAACATAGATCACGTTACATTCAACATGGCAGCCCATTCATCTTGGAGATCTAACCGGAACTAAATATCTAATTAATTTCCTTGACCGACGCTGCCCTTTAATGCCGGGATGATTGAGAGCGAGAGAATCCAGTTTCTCCCATATCCTATCGCTGGTGATCGATGATCCTCACCTGACCGGTGATGGGTGGGTGTACCTATTTTGGTCCATGTATGAGTATGTCCGAAGAACGGTACCCAAAATTCACCTCGTAATGATCCCATGTGGTACAGTAGGGTGAAATACACTGAAACCTCCGTTTACGAAGTCTTTTTTTACGCAGTATTCAATTTACGTCCATCTTTTAACGAAGTAAATCCCAAATAACGAATCTGCAACAGCGACGCCGGTGGTGTAGTGGTAAGCGTGATTACCTCTCACCCCAGCAGGCCTGGGTTCAATCCCAGTCGGCGCCACCGGGAAGTAAAACCGTTGGTCCCCGGTTCATGAGTTGAAAGGTCGATAGGTAGGGTCTAGGTGTGGGAGCTGCCTTCCTGGCGTCGGTAGCATTGATGCTCAGCACGGAAAACAAGCTCAACGGAAAACCAAAGGAAAAAACGGCTCTGCGAAAAACTGTGAAATACCCCACAATATGGAAAGATGGTATTTTTGGAATCAGAGTGACGTGTAGGAACCGGACGCCATGTTGAAATCTAAGATGGCGGCATCCGGTTCATGAAAAACTGGAAAATGGCATGGAATTCCAGTTCCTACACGTCACCCTTATTCCAAAAATACCCATATTGTGGGGTATTTACAGTATTTTCCAGTTTTTCATGAACGAGATGCCGCCATATTGGATTTAAAAATGGCGTCAGAAATGGATTTCCATTTCCTACACGTCACACTGATTCCAAAAATACTCATATTGTGGGGTATTGAAAGTATTTTCCAGTTTTTCATGAACCGGATGTCACCATCTTGAATTTCAAAATAGCGTCAGACATCGATTTCCGGTCTCTTCACGTCCCCCGATCCCGAAAATATCAATATTGTGGGGTATTTGACAATATTTTCAAAAACCTCTTTTCACGAAGTAAAATCCTAAATATCGAAGTTTTCTTACGCACTAGGTTAGGTTCGTAAATGGAGGTTTCAGTGTATTCTGCGGTTGCGTTTCTTATCGTCTTGTTTTTTATCACTATTTGAACAACAATTAAGCCAAACGACTTGCTTGGCCTATTCAGCCGAAAAGCGGTTCGTTTCGGTTGGTACTATCTCCTTCGAACGTAATTAAATCAATCTTCCCTGACAGATCATGTCACTGAATCTTTTGCGACGCATAAACTGTGCTAACAGCATTAATATTAATAAACTCAGTGTTCAGTTCATAGCGCAATCTATTTTCCTACATTATCATATACAGTTTTCTAGTTCGGCAATTTTTTTTCATGTGTGTTTACTTCTTGTTGAATTTGATTTATAGCTAATAAATTGATGTATTTTGGCACTTTGAAGGTTGATTTTATAAACTATCCGTCATAAATAAAATAAAAAGCTTCACACAGTTTGAAGTAAATCCGTATCCTATCCTCACAGACACACCAGGAAATGAACGGAAATTAAAAGTCATGAACTGTAAAGTTCACTGTCCACTCATTCAAACTGAACCATTCGTCGTTCCGAATGCGTCAACAGACAGCTTCAGCATATTTTAACAAACGATTTTCCAACCAATCACAACTCACAGTCAGTACGTTTCACGGTTGCGTTAATTCAATGCGGCATCCTTTCTAAACTATTGCGCGTCATTTACGTTACACTAAATAAAACCTCCGTAAACCGAAACTGCCACTTCAGTGTCATCGCGTCTTCCGAAATCATTCAATCCAATAGAATCCATCGCCGGTTACAGAACTTACCAAAACGTCCTACGCGTTCCATACAAAAGCTTATTAATTCTTCGTCCGTTATTCGACAGATGGTGTAAGATGATCTTCGAAGGCCTCTAGATTAGACTGCAACCGTACACCCCGTACTGCACATTCCTTGTGACACTCACAAAACGCACAACGAATCGAAATGGATTTACCGAAGGGAGCCAAGATAACCCACGCCGGGCTGCTGCATCACACTCCGGATGGCAAGACCGAGATTCAGAAGATCACCCAAGCCGGTCTGGTGGCTCGGTCACCCGAGGGGACGGCTGCCAAGGGGATGAACATCCGTGGCAACGAGGATCTGTGGGTGGAAATTCAGGCCAATACCTTCAAGAATTGGGTCAACGAACATGTGAAGGAGTCTGGCTTGCGGGTAAGTCGGGATTTGATGGGTTTGTTTCAGCAGTTTTTAAATTGGAATTTGTTTTTACAGGTCAGTGATTTCCACGAGGATTTCTGCGACGGTACATTTCTGTGTGCCTTGGTGGAAAGTCTTCAGAAGCGTCCTCTGAAGCCAAACTGGAACAAAAGACCCGCCAACCAGCACCATTATTTGGAAAATGCCACCACGGCCTTGAATGCCATCGAAGCCGATGGGGTGAAGCTAGTCAATATCGGCAACGTTGACATCGTCAATGGGAATGTCAAGTTGATTCTGGGTCTGATTTGGTCCCTGATTGTACGCTACCAGATCGGTAAGAGTAAATTCCCACCGAGGAAGTTGATGCTGGCGTGGTTGCAAGCTGCCCTGCCCGATTGCAAGGTGACCAATTTGACGTCGGATTGGAACAGTGGAGTACTGCTGTCAGCTCTGCTGGATTACTGCGAGCCTGGGCTGTTCCCGCATTGGCGTACGTTGGATGTCCACGATTCGGTTCGGAACTGCGAGCGTGCGATGAAAATCGCCTACGATAGGTTCGGGATACCGAAGGTGCTGGAGCCGGAGTATTTAGCGTCCAGCTGGTTGGATGAACTGTCCGGTATGACATATTTGTCGTACTTTATGAAACCGGACGGACCGGGCTACAATACCACCATGCGGTGGGTCAACAGTGTCATCAAACGATCGGTGTCCAATTTCACGGTGAGTTACCTTGCTGAATGGTGATGTGGAAGATTCAAATAAATCAATTTCTTTCCAGACGGACTTCAACGACGGAAAGGTATTCTGCGAGATCATCAAAGATCTGGGCGGTCCTGTACCGGATCCGAGTAAACTAAGCTCGGACCCAATACTGTGGGAGAGCAACCAGAACAAGGTTATCGAGGGTGGTCTGAAGTTGGGAGTGAAACCGGTTCTGGCCGCCAAGGATATGGCAACGGCCGATGAGGAACATCTGGGCATTATGGCCTATGCCACCTGGTTGCGATGGGTTACTCCCAGGCCACCGTTGGCGGACATGTTTGCGGTCCACCTGGAAAGCACTTCCGGAAGGATTGGTGAACCGACGCGGCTGCGCGTTGAGGTTCTATCGAGGGAAATCGAGATGAGCAAGGTGAAGGCGTTCGTAAGCACCCCGAACAGTAACATGTTGCACCCGGTGAAGCTAAATTCCAGGGGAGAGGGTACTTATGTTCCGGATAAGTATGGGATGCATGAAATTGTGCTGGAGGTTGACGATAATCAGTGAGTAGCAAGGTTGGGGGTTGGATGGTTTGGTGAGTAAAACTGTTTCCAATTGCAGACTGGGTGGCCACTTCTTCCGGGTGCTGCCTCGGCTGGTGACGGTTGCCCCTCCTGGAATGGCACCGTGTGCCCTGGGCAGCTTGGTGGAGGTGCTTGTCAATGCTACCGGTGCTCCGAAGACTGAGGATATTCTGGTGACGGCGTACAGCCCGTCCGGAAGACCCTTGAAGTGTCCGCTGAAGAAGGTAAATGGAAATATTTTCTGTATCAGAACATTGCTCATGTGTCTCAAAATGACTAAGTTCCATAGAACCCAATTGGTTTTTACCCCAAACAGACGAATTATATTAAAAATGTGAAATGTTGCCTGCTTTTCCTGTTAATATTGCATTTGAAAAAGGCGTGATTGGTAGATTAATCTGGGGTTTTAAATACATGTTCACTACTGTTTGCAGTTATATTTAGTTATCCAGAAGTTATTGAATCATATGGAATCTTACTTCAAAATCTATTTATTTTATTAGACTGTATGCAATTTTTTCTTTCCATAAGCTTCATACGACCTTTGGATCATTCGAACTTTCATCTTTTTCCTCATTTTGACCGCCTTGTGGGCTTCTCGTGACGTTTTGAGATTCCGTCTATTTGATACTTTACTTTCGTTTGGCCTTTGGTCAATTCAACTTTTCGTCCATTGTTCTTTGTCAAAACTCTGCCAAAAGTCTGCCATTTGACGTGGAACTGCTCTCTGAAGCCGTTCCGCGGTATCAAGATAGTCACGAACAAGCAGGTTTGCCTCTCGGTTGATTAGATTTGATGCGTAATAGGTGTGTGCTAGTTTAATTTTTTTGGAAATTTTTCAGTCGCGTATCATCCATGTGCCACACTTCAATTGTATTAAGGTTTTATTTTTTAAGTTTTATTAACAATGTTTTATTGTATTATATGATGTACGATATCGATTTTGAAGGAGCGAGAAAACTGTAGGTATGAAGTAAAAAGGCATTATTTTCGGTAAAATATAACTTTTGCTCGACCCAGGTTTAACACATGTTTGAGTCTTGCTGGGAAATGATATTATGATCTATCCCAAACCACTATTGTAGAAAATCGTATCAGTTAGAACTCAGTCGTAACGGCACGGAAAAAAATAATAAGTAAATTAAAATTTGACGTATGGTTGATCCGGTTTGAAAAACATTGTTAACTGCTTTCGGGGGCGTCGTTATATTTGAATAGATTTTTACCCGGGTTTGATATTTTATCAGTCGTGGTGTGATGTAAATGGCACGGTGATTTTAGAGCAACCGCTTTTGCTTACTGAGCAAAAGATCATGGGTTAGAACCCATGCCCTTTTACATTACTTATTTGATAGGGTCACGTCGTTTGCTTAAACCATGCTTTAAAAGATCGCATCACTTTCCCTGAACAATGCTTAAAAAGCAAATCGATACATTGAACGTCGCGTGAAAGTGGAATTTATTAAAGGCCTAAATACTTTTTCGTGGCTTTTAGTTTCCGGATTTGAAAGATCGTCGGTTTCAGCAGAAAAACGCGGCCCCAGACCTTTTCATATTAAAGAGATTTATAGTAAAATCGCTTTTGTATCGTGTATTTTGCGAAACTTGTCGTTGTCGTCGGTGCCGGGTTTGAATGGTTACAACAACTTGAGTAACATTATGATGTGATATGAGAGACTCGGTGGCCTTGAAGCAACCGTTTTTGCTTACTGAGCAGAACATCATGAGTCTAATCTTAGGCCCATCCACATTCAAGATTCGTCAATCGTTATATTTGATAATGTAACTACATGGTAATAACAGCAACTCGATGCTTAAAAAGGAGCTCGTCTGCCTAGGGGCAAACGTTTTTGCTTACCAAGCAGAAGACCGTGGGTTCAATCCTAAGTTCCTTCGCGTTATATGAACTTTAGGACATCAATTCAGCTTATCATTTACCAAAACGAACCCTGCTGCAAACCAAACCCGCTTACCCAACATCCCAGTGATTCCTCGTGGAAGTGCAGAGGTGTTCTCGGCTTCCATTAAAGCGAGTGTCACGTCAACACATTCCTACCCCTTCCTTTCTTGACCTGTGTTCGGGCGCAGCCGGCGCTGGTATTGCCTAGTTTGAGATCACCAGTTTTTCACATTGAGGATGATTGCTAGTCCCAAGCATCGTCTATTGGTTCTCTGTGTAATTACAGCTGGGATGGCAATAACAGAGTAGCAACCATGGGCGGTCAATCATGCTCATGCTCATGCTATGAAGCCATTTCGTGGTGTCAAAAACGGGACGACAGTTCTATAGAAGAAGCTAATTTTTAAATATTTGCTACGACTACAAACGCCTTAGCAGGGTTGCACTCTGCTGCATTAGTAGAATAAAGTCGGCGATCTAAAAAAAATTCCAAGTTCCATCATTAATCTAGCTTTTCCAAGTCCTATAAACTTGATGGTTTTACAATGTCTTAAGTTTAACAATGTGATGAACCTTCAGAATCTTAAAAAAAAACACACACAAAACAAGATAAATATTACTTCGATCGACATTAGTCCAAATGGGTTATTAGACCAAAAGCCTATTGAAAAAGGGTTATTTGGTTAAATTTTGGACAGTGATTGCTTGAACTTTCAACTTATTTTAGAAATCTTGGACTTGAAAGAAATTGAGACACCAAGGAAATTTTTCGAGAAATCATTCTAAGACTGTACTATACCTTTCCAAGATTTTGGGACACGTTGAAAAACCCTTTAGGGGACTGTTAATAAACTACGAAAAATGTTTAGGGGGTGTGGGCCTTAGCTAGTTGTATTAGCAACTGTCGATGCAAAGGTAGGGATGGGGGGTTCATAATAGCTCAAACCTTACAAAATATTCTAAAGGAAGAACTAATACAGAAATTTCCTTATTTATCCCCAGATCGACCACGGACACAGTGCCATATTCAAGCCGGACGAGGCCGGCGTTTGGGAGATTGCCATAACGTACCAGGGACGGCACATCCAGGGCGGTCCGTTTACCTGCTCGGTATTCGACCCCAGTGGTGTCTCGGTGCACGGACTGGACGGTGCCATGCCGCTGCGGGCTCACTCGTTCGAAGTGGACGCCCGTGGGGTCGGAGTCAGTGGAGAGCTGCACGTGGATATCGTGCACGAGAAGCGCTCGCTGGTCTGCTCGGTGGAGAAGCTGCAGGAGAACAAGTACCAGGTGACGTTTATGCCGAGACAGAACGGGAAACATCGGGTGTACATCTACTTCAATGGGTACGATGTCAAGGGATCGCCGTATATTATGCGAGTCGGAAGCAAGGGCCGATCCGGGAAGACCAGAAGCAGCCCGCAGCACGACAGTCGGATGAGATCGGAGAGCCCGTCGTACCACTTCCACAGTTCATCCTTGAACCGGAAAAGCGAACTCAAACGGGACATCTACTCTCCGCAAACAGTTCCGGCTGTCAAGGAAATCTACAGCAGCCGATTGACTTCCCCGTTGAGGGAAAGCCCATCTCCAAAGGATGTCCTCAACAGCAGTAGTTTCAAAACTGAGTACAAGAATTTATCATCCGACAACGATTATGGCTTCAGAAAGAGTACGGAGGCGCTGGCAAGCGATTTCAAAACTCCACCGAAAGAGGATGGCTTCAACTACGTCAAGACGGTCCGTACGGAAAACCATGTTACGAAGACGATTCGTCAGCATCGTGACTCGGAGAGTCCCAGTCTGCTCCGTGCCAGCCCGGGCTTGAAGAGTCCTCAAACCGTATCCTCAACCATCTACGAATCCCGGAATGCTACTGCTAGTCCCAAGTTCTACACATCCACAACTCGTTACGTCCCGTCACCGGTCGAGGCCCGTATTTCGAGTCCGATCAATATGCACGAGAAAAACGAATCGTACAAGTTTACCGAACGGGAGTCGAAGTTCAAGAGTACCATCACTCGGGATGTTGCACGGGACAGTCCCACGATTGAAATGTACAAAACATCCTCCCCGTCGGTGGTTGACTATTCTTCGAACATCAAAGTAACTTCTAATAATGGCCCTTCCCGTCGGGATAGCCGCGACGTTATCAGCAAGACGAAGCACATGTTTTCACAGAATTCTCTTGAATCGCTGGCTAATTTAACCGAGAAGCAGCTGAACACGGATTTGACGTTTGACCGAACGGTTGATTCCCAGACGGAGAAGAACACGCACTTCAACAAGTTCTCGCTGGGGGAGAACAACTACCGAAGCGATAGGAAACTGATCGAAGACGAGGGTTTGTACCGCCCGGGAGGTTATCTGAAGAATTATAAGACGGAGTCGAGCGAACGGTACGAAAAATATACGACCTTGAACAGTGGGTTTGAACCGATTGGACGTGACGTCACTGGTGCTAGGGCGATCCGAGTTCAGGATATTCCCGATGGAGTTCTGGGACGACCGGTTGAGTTTGAGAGTAAGCTGGAATTCTGTTCAATAAAATCTTCCATTTTGATGACAACAAATCATTTTCCCATTTTAGTTGACGGTTCCCAAGCCGGATCCGGAAATCTGGAAATTTTGGTCAACGGCGGTCGCGTGACGTCGGCGGTGCGTGCTCTGGGTAATCAGCGTTTTGTCGCCAGTTTTACCCCGCACGAGTCCGGTGTCCACACGGTGCAGATTACGTTCAACGAGGAAACCGTACCAGGTAAGAGATTGCGATTGCAGTTGAGCTTTAATCAATGACCTATATCCGAACTGATTGGATCAGTAAAGCACTGCCGAAGGGAAGTTGAATTCACTGTCCGAAAATGAGCAACGGATAATTGCTCAGCTTCGCCGTCCACGGAAGCATGCCGAAAATTTGGGGTTAATTTTTAACTACCCCTCCCTCCTCTGCCCTGTTTTTGCTTCGTCGTCTGGTTGGTCTGCAGCATTCCAGAGCGTCGAGTTCATCGCTTGGTAAGACAAATCTCTTCCCGTCTCTGCAGGTGGCACACATTTGTGTATGTGCGCTTTGCGGATGTTGATCAAAACAAAGATCGAAAAACAAACTTATTCGGAGAGATTTAAGACCATGTGTTGTTCATTCGTTGCGATTTGAATGGATTGTTCATTCGGTCGTTTTGAGAATTCATGTTACGGAATGTGTCCCGGTCTATTTGCGACTATCTGGACTGGATAGATGCAAGTTAGAAACAGATTACGTGCTTGGTCGAAATTGTTTATTTAGTTTTTGGCTAGTGCATGTGACGAGGGAAAATTGCAATGCTCCGACTTGAGTTGGTTGACTGTATTGGTGTTTCTGGGAACAGAAGTGCTTTCTACGTGGGAAATGTAATTCAATTTTAGAAGTTGATGATGAATTGCATTTTTCACATGCGTTTTTTGATTTATTTATGATTACAAATCTTAATTTTACTGAATTTACACATTTTAGGATGTGTGTTAATTAAGATCCTTTTAAAATGATGTATATTGAAATAATTTGTAAATGTATATAAGAGTATAAAATACTACGATAGTAAAAAATCACTGCAAAAGAGAGAAGGGTGATGCATATTTGCTTATCATAAAAATTAGATAAGGGGGATTAGAAACTAATTCGCTTCGCTTTGCATGGATTTTTTTTTTATATTTAATGATACCCATCGTTGTAAGCTTGATTTAAAAACAATACTATCAAGTGTGTTTTATATTATACTCATCATATAAACAAAAAATCAAACAAAGAAACTTTAAAAGAAATTCCTTTTGCTTGACGAGTATACTTATTCCTTCTTAACATAAACCTATTTTGTTCAAGGCTGAGGCAGTTAAGATTAACACATAATTTTTTCGTCTTTGGCTGTATTACGCCCCTACTGAGACTTTACGGTGGCCCTCAACTACTGCTCTAGATACGCTTCAACAGTTGTTATTTGAGAGCTTTTTAAGTCTGTACCGTAACGTGGGTAGATCACCTTTTCGTGGTACGTTACGGGATGTAAGATCTATAACCGATTCCTAGTCCTGACTACTTCAAACTAGGAGAACATGATTTGTCAGTAATGAAAGAAACACATCTTAGTCCTTGTTACCTGTTATGCATTATTGATAGTGACAAGACTCGGCTTTTTCCACCGAGGATGATTTTGAAACAAGGAAAAAATGAGTTAGTTAGTCTTCATCTATGTGTTTCCTAATCTTCTATTCGTTGTTCTCTAGTTTGAAGTGGGTAAGACTAGGATTCTGATGCATGATCATTATCGGTGTCATTCCTTAACTTTGTTGCTAAGGAATCCAAGGCACGTCTTTGGAGGGTGTTTCAACACTCCAAAGGGTATACATAGCGAGACCTTTCAACTAGAGTCGGATCCCTGCGATGAAGGCAAGAATGACAACTGTAAAAAATCGAATACTTCATCATTTCTCTATAGTGATGAAGTAATACGACATGCACTAAACTAAGGACACGGGATATACTACAATAGATCACATTACTGGTCGCAGTGGTGTTAGGTCCCGAACAAAAAAACCTGCAGAACAATCATCAAACAGAATTTTACCATTGGAATTGCCTTGAGCATCATTCCATGAGCGGTGTTTTGTATTAAAATCATCATTAATGAAGAATTTAGACCAATGGATGAGTAAGTTTCTGGAGGTCACCCTTGAAAAAAATATTTTTTTGTATGACAAATAGGCAGCTATAAACGTAGGTTGTCCAAATTTTGTTTCAACAGAAACTCCCAATGAATGTTTTTCATGTGTTATGATGTGTTTTTCTTAGGTAGACCATATTGCCCCTATCTACCCTATGCACGTTATGAACTCTCAAAAAGATCTCGTCTTCATTATCTTTAAGACATCGAGCATTCCAATGCAAAATATTTAATGATTTAAAATCGATTTCTGAATATCAAAGTGACTATTAGCGAATTTAACTCCAGTTTGAATAACATCAAACATGGAGTTAGTTTTCAGCATATCAGTAATCATGTCGATTCAAAATTTCGGTTGGAATTGTTGGCTAGAATTTTGATCTAGATTTCTACCAGCTGCAAAAAGCAGCACTATTTACTTGCTGAACATTGATAGCAGCAAGTATGGATGAAGAATTTGAAGCTTGTGAGTTGTTTGTACCTACGGATACGAATGTAGAATTTGTTCCTCGCTGACCGCTGTGAACAGCAGAGAAATAAGTACCTGGTCGGGAACGGGGAGCGTTTCCTATTTGTCGCCTAGAACGAGATTAAAGGATCGCTCTGCGAGTCTTACATTCCCGAGGCGTGAGAGGAATCACCACAATTCATGCATTTAGCTGGCATGTAGCAATTGTTTGTTCCTGCCCCAATCCATGGCATTTACGGCAGTGGGTGAGGTATTTGGAAATTTGCTCCAGTCTTCCCTTAGTGTTCACACTTCATTCTTTTATTATCGTTATGTTATTCTGGTCCTTCGAGCCGGATAGACACTAGGATCTGGCGTTCAATTTCCTAGAGTACAAAGGAGCCCGGTCGCAGTTTGCGCACGCCATCGGTAGCCGTTCTATGAGCTCACTTTGACAATGGAGTTTGCCTTCCGAACGCGAAAATGTTACCGTTGGACTGACTCTTCTTCACGCTACGGAAGACTTCAGCAAGCGGTGATCTCGGCGAAGACGTTTTCCACCGCAGAATCAGGTGAGCAAGCGTAACCACCATCCATCGCTTCCGTAAAGCCGTCTCTCACGGTAACCGCAGAGGAACCAACCAACACCCCTCGTTGCGTTGTGAATTCCCTGCAGACGCACTCTGCTACAACTCAGAACATACAATGACAAAAACGTCCAAGAGAAGATCCTGAAGAAACCTCGCTACTAACCCATCGTACGAAAACATTGCCACTACCTACATCGGAATCATCAATCCCTCGCGCAGTTTGCCTCTCGTCACACATCACCAACTGGCTTGAGGACATTTATCATTGCATCTGGCTATGACAGCTGTACCATAGAGTTGCAGATTCGCACACCCTAACGGCAACTATCCTCCGTCGGATTCTTCCCGCAACGCACTCCGCGTGGTTGAGCTGGGAGATTTGTGTGCAATTCACAATCTGGTTGCACCACAGGATAATACTACAGCCAATCTTCCATCTCGGAATTCTGTTCCTCGACACACCAACGTGCAGAATTCACCTTTGCGTACAAACCGCCATGGAATGTACCACAAGACACATGTCATCGTAGAATCGACAAGCCACCGACGGGACACCACTCCGGTGAGGAAACCGCACCGAAACAGTACTCTGCGTGTACCCTATCGTCCGTCAGGACATCATCACTCTGAACATAATCCGGACCGTATCAAACCTTTGAAATCCACTCACGATTAAGAAGAAGGAGAGCTACTATGTTGCATCCTAAAGTGATTCAAGGCGGGGAGTATGTTCACGCCGAACGTGAACCGCATTTGGTTAATAGTATTTTAACCCTCATGGTCACCTCCCGTGCCCATAGTGCAGAAAAGATTCTCACTTTCCAAGTCGGCTATATGCAGTACACAGCTGAATTCTCGCGCAACACGAGAAAAGGGCCTATCATTGTTGATCGATTCTCTTCATCGATTTTGAATAACCCAACTGCAAATGAATTTTCCATTGAGTGTGTTGATTCAGGCGCAAGCTAACATCATCTTCTGTCAAACTGTGCTGCAAGCCTAGCGAGAAACTCGTGTATGTAGCCGTGGTAAACCAAAGAGAAAGTCGATGAAGAGAATCGAACAACGAGGATAGGCCCTTTTCAAATGTTACGCGAGAACTACGTCCATATGATGAGAAACAATAGTTTCATCGTCTGGGACATTTCCACGCTTCTCACAAGCAGATCAAACCGGCAGTATAATCAAATACAGGGTAGAACGTACTGTCCTTTTTATAGCCTGAAAATAGATGTACCTACCTCTCTCATGCTTACCCCACTTCCACCGCAACAGCAACAGCAGCAGCAATAGAACAGTTTGATGGTTGATCGCCGAACCAAACGGTCCATCCTATGCACAGACGGATTCTGTGTAGACCGCACGCGCTCGCTCGTCTCGTTGGCACCCCTTATCCACAGATCAAAATGGGTGTAATAATAAAACAATTGTAAATATTGTCAAATAAATATGGACTATTTTTGTATTGTGAAGTTTGTTATGTATTTTCGTCTTAACGATTACTGCACCCCAGGCCCTGAGTTTCAGCCAGTCTATTCCGGCGTCAGCATAAAACTAGCTTTTTATAAGGCCTTGTTATAAGGTTGTTCAGTTCACCACACTTGAAGTGAACAAAATACAAATCATTAAGAATTCCGTTGCACGAATCGCCGGGACGAGGTTTCCTTTTCAATTTGGTTACTTGGACTGGCTCAACTCCAAGTAATCTAGTCGATTCATCTTTGATCTGATTCAGGGATTCACCACTGGGCAGACCATTCAAGACAACCTTGAACAGACGTTCGGTTTTCGTATCGGAAGGAAAAATTTGGGTTGCTTCTCAGTAAGATACTAGAGAAGACGTTTGAATCCGGTTTCAGCCAATACACAGTATTCACCCCGACGGCCAATTTGAAGTGAACACTTGAATTTATCGCAAAGAGCATGGAAATCGGAAGGGGTTATCACAATAGGACTTTTCCTTCTTAGCATTAAGCCGGGAATTTTTAACAGAATGTTGCCTGGATGATGGATCATTCTCATCATC